TGTCAAACTAGCGACAGTTGCTAGCACTGTCAGACGGAACTGCGTTTTCTAACGGATCAGAGTCACTGTTATAATGCTCCGCTGTGTCTGTAATGTCTGAACGTGGGAACTTAAAAAAAACCATCCATAAATGCCAAACAATAAAATGAAATTACACTAAACAATAACCTTACCCATCCTTTACAGTAAATGATTTAAATTATAAGTAAAATAATTAAAGTATATATACAGTATATATATATATATATATATATATATATATATATATATATATATATATATATATATATATATATATATATATATATATATATATATATATATATATCCACAATGAAAACGTGGATAAGATAAATCTTGGTAAAATCACACGGGGAAAGGGAAACAACGGAGCACCTTAGCTTTCGTCTTTATTCAAGACATCTTCAGAGGCAACTGGATAACATGGACAGAGAGAGGCTTAAATATACAGGGTGACCTTATTAAACATGAGGTCAGGTCGTAATGATGTCATCCACTAATCCCCACACCAACACCAACACACACGTAGAGGAGCTTAAGAGAAAGGTGGCGACGTGACTAGTCGGGTCAGGTCAGGTCAAAAATAAGGGCCTTGGTATGTACCGAAAAAATCGATATAATAGCATTCACTGAAACATGGATCAACCTAGACTCACGTGAGTTACCGGTCGAATACCAAATTGCGGGTTACAAATTGTTCCATACCGATAGGCAGACCAGGAAAGGAGGCGGAGTAGCAATCTCTGTTAGGGATAATCTGAAGTTTGAAATAAGTAAGCAAATAAAAACTGAGCGGAATACAGAAACAATTTGGATAGAATAAATCGACGGTAGGGAAAAATTAATCACAGGAGTAATATATAGATCCCCCAATCTTGATAGAGTCAATGAGCGACTTATCTGGGATGAAATGCGCAGGGCTTCCATACACAACAAAGTCTGTATAGTAGGCGACTTTAACCTTGGCCAAATAGACTGGACTGATATTACGGGTAACTCAGAATCAGAGGATTTTCTTGAGACGATCCAGGACTGTTTCCTAAGTCAACATATAACCGAACCCACCCGGGGTAATAATATACTCGATTTAGTTCTGTCGAACAGAGAAAACCTCATTAGCAATGTCGAGGTAGGGAACGAACTTGCAAACAGCGATCACAAAGAAATTAGATTCCAATTAGATTTTCAGGGCAGACGTAAGGAAAAATCTACTAAAGTACAAGATTTCAGAAGGGCAAACTTTGACAGTTTAAAGAGGCAGCTGAGAGAAGGGGTGTAGCGCTTGGCGGTGAACCTGACAGATGACACCGACCTGCTAACGAGATCTGAGATTGCCCAGTTCCACGACAATTTAAATAATGAGTTACTTAATGCACAAAGGCAGAACATACCATACAAAAAACTCAGATCAGACAACAATGACCCTAAATGGATAAATAAGTATTTAAAGAACATCATTGGCCAAAGGAAGGCTATAGGTAGAAGGATAAATCGTGGCAAAATTTACCTCCGGGATTATTATAAGGTATCGGCGAGTAGGGTTAAAACCGAGATAAGGAAAGCCAAGAGGAATAATGAGGTAAGGATAGCAAGGGAGGTGAAGACAAACCCCAAAGGATTCTACCAAATGTATCAAACTAAAACACGAGAAAAGATTGGACCAATACTGTCAGATACCGGCGAGCTCACTGATAACGACGGAGAAATGAGCAATAATTTGAATAAATATTTTTCAACAGTTTTCACCACCGAAAATTTAAACATGATACCCGAGGCACCGACTCTATTCAGAGATAGTGAAGAAAACAAATTAAGCGAGATAGTAGTGACTTGTAACGATGTTAGTAAGCAAATAGACAAACTAAAGCCTAATAAGTCACCTGGTCCCGATGAGATATTTGCCAGAGTATTAAAGGAATGTAAGGAAGAGCTTAGTATGTCCTTAGCAAAGTTGTTTAACATGTCCTTAAAAACAGGTGTAGTACCAGAATCCTGGAGGATAGCGAATGTAATACCGATTTTCAAGAAGGGGGATAGACCACTATCCTCTAACTACCGCCCAATCAGTCTAACATCAATAGTAGGCAAATTACTGGAAACAATCATTTCAAACTCTATTCGAAATCACCTGGAGAAGCACTGATTGATCAATGATTCCCAGCATGGCTTCACAAGCGGATGTTCTTGTCTAACTAATCTATTAACATTCTTTTCATCAGTTTTCGAATTGGTGGACGAGGGGCACAATTATGATGTGGTATATCTCGACTTTAGCAAATCCTTCGACAGAGTCCCCCACGAAAGACTAAATCGAAAGGTAGAAGCACATGGCATCAAAGGTAATATCCTTAAATGGATTAGGGCGTGGTTACAGCACAGGAAACAGAGAGTGAGCATTAATGGCACTAAGTCCCATTGGAGCAACGTCACAAGTGGAGTTCCCCAAGGCCCAGTACTTGGACCATTACTATTTATTATATACATAAACGACATAGATATCGGCAATATAAGTAAATTTGCTGATGACACTAAAATAGGACGTGTTATTAAATCTGACGAGGACTCAGCAAAACTACAGGAAGATCTAAACAAATTTTTTGAATGGTCTGAAAAATGGCAGATGAAATTCAACGTGGACAAATGTAAAGTACTCAGTATAGGAGATGTAAACAGGGAAACCAGATACCAGATGAACAACGATGCCATAGAGAAATCCGACTGCGAGAGAGATTTAGGAGTAATGATAAGTAGGAACCTTAAACCAAGTAAACAATGTGTTTTTGCTCTTAACAAGGCTAATAAAGTACTTCGGTTCATACAAAGGAGTGTTAATTACAAGACTAGCGAGGTCATCCTAAAACTGTATCTTGAGCTTGTGAGACCACACCTGGATTACACAGTTCAGTTCTGGTCACCGCATTACAGAATGGATATAGAATCCTTGGAAAGAATTCAGAGGAGAATGACAAGCCTAATCCCGGGCATTAGGAACCTTGAGTTTAGAGACAGGTTAAAGCATCTTAATTTGCACTCCCTCGAGAGACGTAGAGCGAGGGGCGACCTGATAGAGGTGTATAAGTGGACGTCAGGGCTAAACAAAGGGGACATTACAAAGGTACTCAAACTATCCAACCAGGAGCGAACTCGTAACAATGGTTTTAAATTAGACAAATTTAGATTTAGGCATGAAATAGGTAAACACTGGTTTGGAAACAAAGTAGTGGATGAATGGAACAAGTTACCAAATATCATCATTATCTCGAATACGCTGAATAGCTTCAAACATAGGTTGGATGCTTATATGAGCAATAGGGGATGGGTGTAAACGGGACTGCCCAGTATAGGCCAATAGGCCCGCTGCAGTTTCCTCCGTTCTTATGTTCTTTTGTTCTTATATATATATATATATATATATATATATATATATATATATATATATATATATATATATATATATATATATATATATATATATATATATATATATATATATATATATATATATATATATATATATATATATATATATATATATATATATATATATATAAAGTAAGGCACTTATAAATTAAAAACTAGCCTGTCACGACGTCTGATGTATGATGGTATGCTGTAGAATATGTTATTGTATTTATAAATATTGTATATGTCTGTAGCATACCTATAACTGTAAACTTGATTGGAGAAACGAAGAATTCTGGGAATTTATTGAAAGTCTGGTCTTAAAACCGTAGATTTCAGCGAAGTAGGGGAGCCAGCTGACGATGAAGTTCAGGATCAGGGTCACTGTCAGTCCGTGTTGATAGTAGGTCCAATATGGAGTCGATGAGAAATCCAAGATGACGTCAACGACAAGTCCAATATGGCATCCTCTTTGCTAAGGCGACTGAATCCAACGACCTCAGTGATGTCGAAATTCCAACCATCTGGTAACCCGGGGACTCTGGGGGGCGGTGAACACTGGAAGTCACACCATGGGTCACAGGGTACATTCACCGGTGGTGTTATCCATAAGCGCTGACTCAGTCTCAACAACCCTTGGAGGTAGAGACTGGGGGTGGCACCACCTGGGGGGTTGCCTGGGGCGTTGGGAGGGGGTTCTTCATGCTGGGCAGAAATGAATTCGCTGACCAGGTTGGTGACTGCCTAGTAGCCACAACAACGTAGTCACGGCCTCTGGGTGGGGTGTTACATTTTGACAAGTGTTGTCACAATGACATGAATTATCAATAACTCACTTTGTAGTTTGACTTAGATAAAAACAAACGTATACATCAATCTGGGACGACAGATAAATGTATCACTCAATGTAACATTTCTCACTCAGGTATATATCCTGGTGCAACTATGGAGAAAGACACAAAAATATCATCACTGTTTGTTTAAAGACACTGGGTTTGATTATATTAATGGGTCCATTAGCTGCCACCTTTATGTAGCCTGTTTCCAGTTTCGTGAGCTTGGCTGATGAGAGGTAACTTAGTAGCTACATTTAAAATGTTCATGGGTTAAGTTTGCAAAGCCCAAATGGTCTTTTTTTCATTTATTTCAAAGAATAAACTGTCCACACTCAACAAGGACATTACCGTAATTAACACTATAAGCTGTAAGTGTTATGGAAGGACGGAAGCTTATCTGGGATAAGCTTTTATGTCACACGTCCATCTATCATGAAGAATGAGCGGTACATGGCTGTAAGCCCGCTGAAGGGAGCTAAGTTAGCACCCTTAGAGACGCTACCTCGCCAGTGGAAAATTACTTATCACTTGATGCATGTATGACACTCACTGCTCATGAAAATTACGGGGGTGATGGAATTATATAAAATTGATGTATTCATCCATATTTATACAAGTACTATTGTCTATTAGACACTGGCTAATACAGGAGATCTTAGCTACCAAACTATCTAACTACCTAACAGCCCAACAGGAGTTATTTTAAAGGGTGGATTATCTAATTACCTAACTACCTTACAGGAGATCTTAACGAGTGGTCTGTTGACGCTGTTCTTCTTTGTGTCTGGCATCTGCGTCTTGGCTTTCTACTCCGGCTCACCAGTACCTGACGCCTGTGGATCCTTCTGCTTCTTCACCAGTATTATCTACGGCATCGATGTGTACTTTGCCTTCCAGATTGAAGTGGAGTAGAGGTGATGATAATGATGATGATGATTTATAGTGTGTAGTTTACGTCCTCCTCTTCTTCTTCTCTTCCTCCTCCTTTGCCTATTAATTTTTCTCCTCCTCTTCTTACTCCTACTCCACCCCCTTCTCCTCCTCCTGCTAGTGTGGTGATGAGGTTACATCTAACGTAAGCAAATGTCCTAAATCATCTTAGTGTGTATGTGTGTATTTTGTCTAATTGTCTCTTTTAACTTGCGGCCACCACAACTAATAATATCTACCTACAGTCGTGGCTAGATGACATGAACCTAACCTAACCTAACCTAACGTATGCAAACTTAAACTGATCTAACTAACCATTAGGATCAAACATAAGACGCCCTAATCCACCCTTAGCATCGACAAAACTTAATAGGTTAACATAGGTTAGATTTGATTGGTCAGTGTAGTCTGACGTAGAAGAGTGACGTCACATGCTACAGGCGCGATGATTGGTTTGGTAGGTCTGTGTAGTCTCACGTAGAAGAGTGACGTCACATACTACAGAGGTGGTGATTGGTTCCATGTACATTGTGTCACCGCCAACCACTAAGGGAGACAACAAGGGCACCTGGCGTTTAAGGGGTCATCACACAAATATTCTCAAGACGATCTATACATATACTACCAGAGTGTTTCATACAAAATTTATGCACACTGCCTTACAGACTGTCTTGAAAATCACGTGAAATGATCGTGTTACACCAGCAACAATGCCCTTGTGTGAGAGCTGCAACAGGTGAGGGTAATGTTGCTGTCTAATACAATCATTCATGTAATCTCCACGTACAGTACAGTGCATCCTGTAAGGTGGAGTCAGGAACGAACATACAAAATACGTCTTAGTATGTTTATTGTAAGGAAGAAGTAGGGATAACTTGAAGATTAACCCCCCTAGCTTATTTCACCTGAAGATTAGCCTCCTAACACTAACTTAATCAACATTAACGATAACCTATATTAACAATCCTTAAAACTAACCTAACCTAACGAGAACCTGTATTAACAACCCTTAACACTAACCTAACCCTCCAAGGCAATGTTAAAATATTTAATCATCAGGTGAAATAGTGATGGGCTAGTCTTGAGGTGATCCAGAAATACTGTAAAATATAAGCAGGTTTTGTATTTTTATTATATCAAGAATACAAACTAAAATAACTGTTAGGTAGTAATAATAATAAGTGTAATTCTTCATATAGTGACTGATGATAAATATTGGTATGTTTTATGTAAGTCAATATTTTCTTCGTTTGTATTCAATGTAAATAAAGCTCGATACAGTACTACGTCCTGAGTATTTCTTCACCGCATGTTTACGAGTTGGCCAGATGGTCGGGAGGTTCTGTTGCAACTGTTGGCAAGTACTAGTCATGTACTGGCTCTGTTATAAGCTGTTGGCAAATATTGGCTCTGTTATAAGCTGTTGGCAAGTACTGGCTCTGTTATAAGCTGTTAGCAAGTATTGGGCATGTGCTGGCTCTGTTATAAGCTGTTAGCAAGTACTGAACATGTACTGACTCTGTTATAAGCTGTTGGCAAGCACTGGGCATGTACTGGCTCTGTTATAAGCTGTTGACAAGCACTGGGCATGTGCTGGCTCTGTTATAAGCTGTTAGCAAGTACTGGGTATGTGCTGGCTCTGTTATAAGCTGTTGACAAGCACTGGGCATGTGCTGGCTCTGTTATAAGCTGTTGGCTAGTACTGGACTCGTACTGGCTCTGTTATAAACTGTTGACAGGTACAGGGCATGTACTGGCTCTGTTATAAACTGTTGGCAAGTACTGGGCATGTACTGGCTCTGTTATAAACTGTTGACAGGTACAGGGCATGTACTGTCTCTGTTATAAACTGTTGGCAAGTACTGGGCATGTACTGGCTCTGTTATAAGTTGTTGGCAAGTACTGGGCAAGTACTGGCTCTGTTATAAGCTGTTGGCAAGACTGGGCATTTGCTGGCTCTGTTATAAGCTGTTGGCAAGTACTGGACATGTACTGGCTCTGTTATAAGCTGGAGGCAAGTACTAGACATGTACTGGCTCTGTTATAAGCTGTTGGCAAATACTGGACATGTATCGGGCTCTGCTATACACTGTTGGCAAGTATTGAGCATGTACTGGCTCTGTTATAAGCTGTTGGCAAGTACTGGACATGTACTGGCTCTGTTATAAGCTGTTTGCAAGTACTGGGCATGTACTGGCTCTATTATAAGCAGTTGGCAAGTACTGGGCATGTACTGGCTCTGTTATAAGCTGTTGGTAAATACTGGACATGCAGTGGCTCTGTTATAAGCTGTTGGTAAGCACTGGTCATGTACTGGCTCCAAAATGTATCTGTACCTACTCCAGTGTTAGTCAAGTCTGGTCTTGAATGAGCTCACACTCGGTGCCGCCACAACACTCTCTGACAGATTGTTCCAAGAGTGTTCTGGACTTGTGGCTCCTTCAACCTTGAACTGTGACCCCTTGTGGGGTGAAGGTGATCCAGCTCCAGGTATCAACACTCGACTGAGATGTTTATAAACTTCAATTACGTCACCTATTACCTGCCTATAGTATAAGCAAGGCAACTGAAGGCGTTCTTATCTCTCTGGGTAACTGAGGTTCCGCAGTGCAGGCACCAGTCTGGTGGCCCTCCTTTGGGCACTGACAATCAACTGACAGTCTCTAGCACATCTCGGGGAAGCACCTCACTTTTGAAGAGCGTTACGAAAGAAGGACCTTCATTGTATATGAACGAACTTCTTTTACGACCTTCTAGCATAGTCTTGATTTACTTTCTCATAATGGCCCGAGAACTTCAGTTTGTTGTCAACATAATACACCTAGGTCCTTTTCACATTCGGTCACCGTTAACGTTGTTTCTCCGTCCTGTTGGGACATGTGACGAAGTGTCCTGTTATGCTAGTGACACATACTAAGCCTCACACAGCCACCCTGACAAGTACGGTCTATAGCCTCAGTGTACACTTAGTGACAGCGGCAGATAACACTGTAAATGTATTTAAAATGGGGCACCGTATATTAGTATAACATGTGCAGAAGCAACATGATATAAAAGGCAAGAAATTTGATGATTAAGTCTGAGAGTAACACTTGAACGTGTGATAACAGCAACTGCTCTCAACCCCTGGCAGGCAACAGGCGTACCAACATGGATGGATGATAAGCATGGTGGACGAAGCAACAATAAAATAATGGCGTTAAATCAGTGGTGTAGCTAGAGGACGATCCTTCCCTCACCAAGAATAAGAATGGATTTTATCGGAAAATTTCTCCCTCTATCGGAAAGCTAGATGTATGGGTGAGAGACGAACTGCATGTAATGAATGATCTAGTATTATTAACCCTTGTGAATCTTCTTTATTTCATTAGTGGTAATATCTGTACCTCAAAATAAAAAAAATCTTTGTTATGACAGTAAACTGTTATATATTGAGATAGATGACTGGAATGCAGTATCTTGTCACTCCAGGTTGTCTGCCCCAACACCGAAAATTACAAGCTGCCCTACTGTGTTAGGGGCCATTCAAAATTACCTACCGCTTTTTTCCACCCAAATTTATACACCCCCCGTAACACTCTGCAACACTCTTTGTGTACGAACCTCTGTCCTGCATGGCAAGTGAATAGTGACATTACCCATGAATCTGATAAATATATATATATATATATATATATATATATATATATATATATATATATATATATATATATATATATATATATATATATATATATATATATATATATATATATATATATATGTGTGTGTGTGTGTGTGTGTGTGTATACTGTTAATGAATATGATGTATTTCTTTGTGTATGAACTCTGTCCTGCGTGGCAGTGAGAAGTGATACCACCCTCAGTGTCAAGACCTGACTGAATTACTCAGAATAGGCAAACTGTACTCCAAGCTTTGTCAATAAATTTGTTAAACTAACTATGTAATATCAAGCCAAACCCCACTAAAATATTATGTAACACAACCCTGAACAACCCCCTCCTCAACACTGCTCCAGATCACACCAATCAGAACTGTCAAGACTCTGGATGACTTAACAGCTGCTTTACATACAAAGGGTTTTCAATTATCTCGCAGCTCAGTATATTTGTGACTACTGCCTAGAAATTCTTCAACTTGAGAGGGAAAAAGACATGTGAAAACAGTTCATGCTAAACTAATGAGGTCTGAAAATAGTGCACATTCTAGATATCCAGATACCTATATGCTAGAACATCTATCTCTTATCTGGAAGAGATTGCTTCTCTACTTGGACCACATGAAGTCACATTCCATTCACAAGATAACAAGGCAAGAGTTCCAATAGGCTTTACCACTGCAAACAAACAGGCTCCTCTGATAATGCAAATGGAATATAAAGTCACTCTTAGTGACCATTATTTTGTTGTTGCCCCTAAACACAAACTAATACCATCAGTAATAGATGGTATTTCAATAAAGGAAAGCTGTATTGGAGAACATATATAGCCATACGAAGTGCTAAGCACACATCTTCAACTGCAATGGGGCATCTGAGAGATATGAAGAAAGTGCCTTCCTTACCACAGTTTATTGAACAGATGTTTACACCTGATGGTATGCCACAGCCAGTCATGATTGTAACAGTAGATGGTGGTCCTGATAAAAACCCTAGGTATGAAAAAACCATCACGTGTGCTGTTGTTTATTTTTGCACATATGATCTAGAAGCTCTCTTCATTGCAACAAATGCATCAGGTCGAAGTGCATTAACAGAGTTGAACGACGTATGGCCCCACGTTGCCATGATCTAGCTGGAGTCATCTTACCTCAGGATCATTTTGGAAGCCATTTAAATTTTAATGGAGAAAATGTGGATGAAGAATTGGACGAGCAAAATTTTGCCCATGCAGGGAAAATTCCCGCAGACATTTTGTCAGCTACTGTTACTGGTGGCTACCGAACAGCTGCTGAATATGTTGATCCACAGGAAAAAAATGAACCAGAAACCCTTGAAAAGAGTCCTCCCTGGTAAGCAAAACATGTGCAAGAGAGTCAATATTTTCTACAGGTCATCAAATACCAAGATACAGCTTGCTGTAATGCACCAAGAAGTTCTTACTTTTCAGCTATTACCAACAAATTCTTGCCCTCACCACTTCCCCTTGTACAAACAGCAGATGGCTTGTTATGTTGTCTTGATGAGATGAGTGCCAAATATCCACCGCTCTTTGTCAATCTAGCACTGGACAAATGTGTGCTACCAGTTCGGGCAGTTAAAAAGTCTCCAAAAGGCCTTCCATATGATTTGGCATGTCCTTGTCTGAAGAATGAGCTGCAGAAGCGCAACTGTGGAACATGTGGCAAATACTTTGCCTCAGTCAGTCCATAAATGCACATATTAATAAACACTCTTCGAGTTGCATGAGTCGCCATTATGTTGTGAGTGCTCCAGCAGAAAGGCTGCAACCTCAAAGACTAGCTGCCAAGAGACAAAGGAATTCATGTGTGTTGTCAAGTACCTGGAAAATAAGAGTATGAGTGGGACATTGAGGAAGAATTGGATACTGAGGGACTTGAAATGCCAACTGAGATCAGGGCTAACAAAGGAACACCAATCAGACTGTACCGGTAGAGAACCAGTGTGGCAGGAAGACTGTTAGATCTGGGACAACACACATGAACCACCCCTGGACACTTAAATATTTAGACTGAGAACTGAGTTTTCAGAAATTTATTTGTTTTTTGACATGCAAACAATATATCAGGAATATATTACATAAAAATCATTTCCTTTCATTATTAAAGTTGCATTACTTGCTTTCACCTTTATTTGAAAAAAATAAAATACGCATTTATGTGACAAGGTATAGAAAACCTCAGCACATATATTATTTTTTTAATTCTTCGTACACTTATAGTATTAAAAAGTTTCAAAGATTACATCTGTATTATTTAGGCTTTATTTTTTTTTTACTGAAACATAATACTTCCTCTGACACCCCCACCCCTTGTAACACACTGTAACACCTGACTTTATACTTCCACACCCCCTCTGCATTATGTAATTTTTGAATGGCCCCTTAATTTATTGCTTTTAATCAATAACATTTTCTTAATGTAGTCTGATATTGGATCATTTTAAACAAATTAAGAAATACTGTATTGTATTCCGCTGCCTTAAATATATTATAGTTAATTTCCTGAATAGCGAGAGCAGATGGCAGCCTCGCACAATAAAAAGTCCACGAGATTATTACGGAAAAATTATGTACAGTATCCATAAGTCATACTGATGATATGTTA